ATATAGGCTCTTTATAGGATCCTATACAAATTATAGGAAATATAGGATATATAGGAGGCCTGGGATGCCTGCTGTCAGCAACAAAGGCAAGTATTGCACCAATACCGTCCATATCATGAACGAAAAAGATTATAACCTTGATACAGATGATTCAGTCGATAAAAAACGACGACAAGCACAAGAAGACTCGAAATAACGAGATTAGAATGTTTGTCGGTAATGGTAGATTCTGATACCTGATTTAACGTCAGGACAACCTGAACACCTGTTGTCTGGCTGCTCGAACACTGCATGGTAGAGATTACCCTTGACGTTCCTCACAACATGGTAGGACTGAAGCAGATCGTATAGTTTGATTTATCAAGGGACACTTAGTGGAAGAGTCAGCGTGACCTGACCTCTGGGGTCATCTACCAATAACATACTCAGATGTTCATCAAAACTATCCAATCATTTTTGCGATAAAGCGAGCCAATCATAAAGGCTGTACGATTTTATTGTTTTAAGAAACATCCAATCAAAGTGCTCTTATGTGCCTCGTGTTTTGGGTGGAATTTCACCTTCCTAAACTACTTTACTGATGGCATCGAATTTGACATGACTGTCACGCAACACACGATCAGATCACAAAACTGCTATTCTTAATTAGTTCTACATCGAGTCAAGTCCACTGTTTAGCTTCCCAAAACGATGGCAATAAGAGCTACAAAGGTAAGAGACTATTTTGGTACAATATCCATTTTAGTAACTCTAGATGACTGTATTAACTATGCAACAGGACACATAGGAACGTGTGTCGCCATTCTCCTATAAGTTTGATTGGGCGTATTTGCGATTAAAAATGGCAATAATTTATAAGTATTTTGTGCTTATTTAGTGGCGGAATGTGGATCCGCTTTAATGACTAAAATTGTTTCGAAAACTATTCTGTTCAGCTTTAGACAACCAACAGTTGTTAAGGATTCGTCAGATGAACCAACACACATGCTCATATGAAACTTGTTATTCCATCCCACATGGTCTTAAGACCCAACAATGGTTAAAACTAGATATATCTTATGCCAGGGACATTCTTTGCCTGATAATCCAACACGCATGCTCATATTAMACTGATTATTCCATCCCACATGGTCAAGAGACCCAACAATGGTTAGAACTAGGGACTGGAGAAATCCACCATTCTTTGGTTAGGAACTCCAATTTTTACTCCTATCACTGATGWCGTCATACTCACCAGATTCACATTACATGTCTCCATGTGTCGTATCACCATATCCATAATGGTATCGGCTATTATCGACGCTAATGTCAGCTTGTCCTCACTGAAAAAGATATATAAAGGGTTAGCATTGATTATCCCGTATAAACAAAATATAATGAATCAGCGACGATTTACACATTTTTTAGCAATTACGAGTTTGAGGGGAAGACTGAAATGAGTGCAATGTAAGGCTGTTTTATGGTGGCCTATACAAGGGAGCACGGCAGACATAAATTTGCTGATTGGTCTTCCTGTGGTAATGACATGTGCTAACGAATACGATTATCCGCGAAAAGCGTGGGCTCAAGTAAATATCAAAGATGGCGGCGTACATAATATTATTTATCATCSGCCATATTTGTTTACTTATGAGCCCGCATGACTTTTAAGAAACCGCATGTGCATCCATACCACAGGAAGACCAATYGACAAATACTATAGTGCACWGAAATGCCAACTCGCCCCATTTTTTTATCAATCTCGGAAAGGCTAATAGTTTCTGATGACTAACCTTATTCTATTTATAATGGTGGAAGCKGCGTGGGTTAAGATCACTTCTTCAACAAACGTTTGGCTGAGCCGTTGGTTGCTAGTGGTAACCGTTGTCAAGCTGCTTTGGACATCCTTAAGAAACAATRATTGCAGTCAAGCAAATTGTGAAGAAAGAAAAGGCACKTTTYGTMTYGACYGCAAGTATTCTGATAARYTTTCGCAAAGTCCTTCKTCTCCGTATTAAATCAAGAACACTGAATAAAGCACAGGCAACCCAACCAGATCGCACGCGCTGGAGCTACGGGCTGGACGATCTGTGGGTCTCGGAGAGGTCGGTAGTTTATCTGCTTTAACCAATAAGAATTTTTGGACAGGGTATCGTCATGCTCACAGCACTGCATGTTTGGACAGTAAGTAAGGTACTAGTTTGGAGTTCTCTGATCAGGGTAAGCCTCAATTTTGTTTAGAATATTCATGTGTTCCAGTGAAGGTCCATGGAATTTCAAAGTGTTTGTATTGTTGAAGTTGTGCATTCTTTRCTTTACCGTTGGTATTTGTGAATATTTAGGCACTGATACGAGGCTGGCCCTGAKTAAATAAGTCAGTAATCCAGAAATCGAAAAAGGTGTATTCATAGTTTTCTTCTCTATCCAGTCAGAATTTTTAAACAAGGCACCGTCACGGACACGGTACTGCATGTTTACACTATAAGTTTCTCATAGCTATCTGCTCTATCCAATCAGAATTCATGGACACGACACCGTCACGGACACGATACTGCATGTTTACACTGTAAGTTTCTCATAGCTATCTGCTCTATCCAATCAGAATTCATGGACACGACACCGTCACGGACACGATACTGCATGTTTACACTGTAAGTTTCTCATAGCTATCTGCTCTATCCAATTAGACATAGTAAAGTCATGGTTACAGTACTCCATGYCTACACTGTAAGTTTCTAGTTGCGTAACATCCGGTTCATATTCTAGTGATAYGATGTCATACCTCTTTAGATGTAATGTAGGGACATACTTCACGTGCACATGACAACATCTTCTCCACATTTTCCTTGGAGGGAAACACAAGACAAGTTAGTTTTTAATTCCCACTTGCGGGAACAATATCGTAAGATAAATTGACATCAAGATATCGGTAAGCTATCAGTAATGCTGTTCTAAGTTTCTTAAAAAAATTCAAACCCTGAAATAACCCCGGGGTTAATCAAGGTCAGGACGCTAACTCACAGATCGAAGCGGAATTCTTCAGCGTATTGGGTTCTGCGTAGGGGGAGGGGGTAGGGAGGGGACTAAAGAACCCCGATAAAAACCCTCGGATCAAGAATGAGACCCAACATATTCGGTGATCCTGAATCCAAAATTCATACCTGAGRACCCAGAGTTAAGACGCAAATGCATTACCGCTATCCTACCCTTGGATTCTAGTGTTGTGTTAGCAAGCCAGTTAAAACTTTTAACGACAATTCCTCGTTTGCATATGGCACCATTGCCGCCATCTTGGATGAATGTAACGAAAGAATTGTCAATGAATYCTTTTGTCATCTAACACAGTCGCCGTGTGTTTTGTTATTTCACTYTCTTCGGAATGATTGAAAACCCAGCAATACCTTCATTTTGTCCTGTGAGGCTTGGTAAAACTTAACGGATAACTGAGTAAATTCTTCCTCGATATCACTGTCGTCGGTGCACAAATGAAACTTGAGAAGCAGTTGTTTCAGCTTATCAGCGTCCTGTATGTACTGTTTAGCGATGGAGATTTCTTTTTGGATCTTCTCATCCTCAGATGTTCGTAGCGCGTGAATGTTTTCTTGTATTTGAACTATCAGACGATCAACAGCCTGTTGCGTGGCAAATAGTAATACTGAGATAAATATAATCGTATTGAAATCCTTCATAGAAAGACGTCACACACTAATAATATCCGTATACTACTCATCTCAAAGAATGAAGTCACATGCTAGACGCATATAATAACCCATATTAATAATAGTACTTATGTCACACTATACTACTTAAAAGACAGTACGTAAATAGCTGACGTAACACATTGTAACCACTTCATCTACTAATGCGCTAGAAAAGTCGTACATGTAGAGTGATATCACTGTAATAACATAGTCATAATAAAACTTAYATTTTACAACCAACACTCCCCGTACGGTGCTCTTCCGTAAGGTTCCTTCTACACACAATACAGTACCACCACATTATATATTTACAACATACAACGTTCAACTCACATGTTGATTTTTACTGAGGGAGGAAACCGTAGAAAACCCTGGTGGCAAGAGAGGGAGAGAACAACACAACAAACAAACTCAACTCATCCAGTCTGAGCCGGGCACGAACCCGGAGCACAGCGGTGAGWGGCGAGCGGTAAACCCATACGCCACAAAAAATATATTTATGATAAAGAGTACATTTTACTGACCTGCTGTTGGGTCGAGGCGACTAACAATCCTTGCTGTAACCTGTATGCTTGTTCAGGTACTATCTTATGTGGAGACTGGTTTCGCAGTAGGATTTGTTCGATCTATAAAAGTCAATTAGAGTAAGGACTCATTTTTCAAAAACRTAAATAAAATGCATGCAGCTGATCTGAAATACTGACGTAGAAATGGCGTCAATGCAAAACTGAGGTATCAGGAATCATGCGAAAATTCGGATCGCCGAAAAAAACACCATTACAACAAAAATATAAAACTTATTCTAATTTAAGTTACTGTGTCACTGTTAGTAAGCGCGTATATTAGTAACGTTTTTTCTTTTTGATTTATTTGGTGGCCTGGAAATTCGCAATTTCAAGAGGAAAAGTGACACCACAGTTTTGCAAATGTTCTCGATTTTGATTGGCTAACACTTTGTCTCAGATCAGCTGGATAGTAACATTAAAATAATTCATYTTTAAGGTTTCCTACCTTTCTAAGGTGTTGTTCACACTTTGACACACCTTGGGCTTTAAGACACTGTGACGCATCGTGAAGAGGGAAGGGGATAGAGTGTAGAGTATGGTTCCTGTAACACAATARAACATCTGATTAAAGTAAGCATTTTTTAACCCCTCATCGCATGGAGCTTATGTATAAAAGACATGCAGCTATTTCAGACAAGGTTGGTGAAGGTTTTTGTTCCATGTTACATGTTTACTAAACACACCACATATACATTCTCGTACCCAGACCCTTCTTTCGTTAGAAAGGTGAGAAGGATCTGGGCACGAAAATGATTCATAAATAAATAATGTTAGCACAGAAGATATTTTGCTGTAGAAATCTGCAGACAAAGTATGGGAAAATTCCATGCTACTCATAGCTCGGTATGTCAGAAGACGATAAATAGTCAGGAGGTTTTGCAAGAACACGTTACTATACTGCGGCCATGTTAGATGGTATTGAATGGACTATTTTGACGATACGGCGACTATCTTGTATCGCAAGGCATTATGGGGYGTCCAGGAGGCAAATAAAGCTTTGTTATAGTGATGACGTGGATTGATATTAACAGCTCACCACAAGAGAATACAACAAAGATGAATTGAGACGACACATCAATCACCTTTACTCATAAAARAAACACAAACACACGAAACTCGATATAATTTCCGTCATCTTTGTTTTGTTTTGCTCCCTGGGAAGATGGCCGCCTTATCGTCGAAGTAGTCCAATGCTTCTCATGTTCCTACCATCCCACATGGCTACCGCCAAAACGTTTATCAATACCTTTCAAGAGCAGCAGCGATATCACCATACCCTCGATGAGTTATACCATTTCTATCCAATATGAGAGTTCTAAACATTTAAGGGGGAAACAATAAGAAAAATATTTCATATTCATAGTTGAGTGAGATTTGAAGTAAACTATCATCACTTTGTAGCCAGTAGCATTTGTTGGGTCAAAGAAAATCACTAAGGTAAGGTACGTTCACAGAGGAGAGTCATCATTAAAATTTCAAGTTTTTTGGAGGGTSAAACCTTAGTATTATTTTGATGAAAGCTAGTTTCTTGTTGACTCAACAGGAGGTTCGTGAATTTCATAGTGAGTGAAAGGGAGAGGACTACAGCCATCTTTAGCTTACTGAGGGCTACAACCATCTTTACTTTACTGTGTATTCTACAGCCCTCCCCTCCAATGTATAAACGACCTTCCCAAAAGATCGACCTTGGCAAAAGTCATTCATCTTTTTCCCCCTGCAAATCCTTGGAATGTTATACCATGTTAGTTTAGATATTGTTGCATTTCCTGTGCACCCATCCTGCAAGACCCCTGGTTACGGCCCTGTTAAAGTTACCTGAGTTTTGAGTTAAGTTGTAATGCTTTGGCGAGTATACGAGCACCATCGTCTCCAATGCCATTACCACTAACAAACACAAAGTATAAAGCCACCATTAGTCAGTTTGATAACAACCGATACAGAGTGCAAGAGTCCAAGGATAAAGCCAGTTTTTAACGAGTTTTTTAGATATTCAATTAAGATAACGTGAAGTCAGACAGGGATAAAGTTTCAAAAAAGTGACGACATCTATATAAAGAATGATAAAGAATGTGGATGGATCAAAAAACTGGGTCTGCCTTCTAATTCAAGGTTTACGAAGCTATAATAGACAGTACTACACAGCTTGTATTTGACACTTTTGGTGGCCTTGAATGGTCTCCTTAGACGTCATAAGTGTTGGTCAAAGGCGATCCTGACATAAATACCGCAAATTTCTAACTCATTTTAAACATGTAAGAAACAGACAATCTTATTGATAGGAACTAGACAGCGTACCTGATGTCCAGAGTGGTGAGTGTCTCATTAGTCCCTAATGCATCAAGTAGAGGGATGAGGTCTTGTTTGAGTTTAGAATCAGCCAGCGATAAGTAATGAATGTGCTGAAAGAAAAGGGTCAATAGAAATGTTTATGGGARATGGGTGTGGTTATGTTATTAACCACTACCTTGTCTGTATAAGAGGTTGAWTTAGAGACTGTTTCCGATCTGCTGCTTAGTTCAGAAATGTGTGAGACAATGGCCAAGGGAGGGGACCTAAGGGGCCAGTGCCATAATTACAGAGGGGGGGGGGGGGAGTAATTAAGTTATGACCACTACCTTGTCTGTCTAAGAGGCTGAATCAGAGACTCAATGTTTAGTATTTACCGAGTTTTCTTCTGAAATGAGTTGTACCAAGGCCTCGATTCCAACATTGGAAACCCTGAAAGAAAAATGCCATGAAYTAGATAAGGAAAAAGATAATGCCTGCAAAGACRTTTGTCCTWTTATTCTCATGYAAAGAGGTGCACACCACTTATTGAATACTATTGCYGGTTTTCACAGCCGCCATGTTGGATGAATTTAACAAAAGATTTGTCATTAGTCTCTTTTGTTATATCATCCAACATGGCCACCGTGTCTTTGTTATTTCATTCTCTTGGGATTGATTGCAAACCAGCAATTTCTAATTTTTGATTAAATTTAATAAAATATTTGTTTGGGGTTATTTTGTTCTGTCATCCAACATGGCTGCCATATCATCTATTCATATGGAGAGGACAACATGCCATMTATAAATCATGAAAGCAGTCCCTTATAAATCCCAGTACCTATATTTGAAGTTCTGTCCCACGTGTAGTTCTTGAATGGATTCATTTTTACCCAAGCTTTCKATCACATTAACAAAATCTCCTTCAAATCCTGAAATAGAAAAATATATAGTTATATACCAGGAATAAARTGACACAGAATATGGGGAAGCACAGGTGGTGTCACATGTAAGTTACAAAGTTGCTTCTTGATTCTCTTCTGTGCTACAAGGGATTTTATCYAGGTTCTCTGGTTTTCCTTCTGAACTCACAACTAGATTGGTGCTCTAAGTTTCCTCCCTCCGCAAAACATAACATGCTAAAATTTATCCTAATTCAGTTGGTGTCTTAGATCAGCCCAGAGTTAGCCATACCCTGACTTTGATCAACGCAGAAGTTGTTTCAGCRTTCCATCTGTGAGTTGGGCATACCCTGACTTTGATCAACCCAGAGGTTGTTTCAGGGAATTGTTAAAATGTGAGGATTTCACAGACTTACCATTATCACTGATATTCAGTTTCCTGACATTCTTTATCTTGTGTAAACATTCTGACAATGCTTTAGCTCCACTGCTYTTGAGCTGTTCAAAATCATTAAACAGTGTGAAATAATCATTATAATTACAGAATGATGCACAAACGATTCCATATCATATTCAGTTTTTACTTACCTCATTCTTGCTAATGTCAAGTTCCACATCTGAAATCACAGCATTTTCTGCAAAACCAGTTAATAAAGGCCTGGAAAAATAATATGGACAGTAAGTCAACTGTCATGATTACTGGCCAAATTAGCTTTATCTCAGTCATACCTCATTTCTGGCTTAAATGGTACAGTTTGCAAGGCAAAGATTTGAACGGACAAGTTCCAATTCTGGGCAGACATTGTCTGATGTCAAGCCGTTATTTTAAGCCAAATAATAATAAAGTTAATAAGACCATTTGGGAATTTTATTATCTAGGTGGTGTATTCTAGGACTTCATGTAACATCATTGGAGCCTTTTCAGTATAATGAATTAACAAAATTTCTTTAAGGCTTTTCTTGTTATGAACTTCAACATTACTGCCATGCATGCCGCTACAATTATTCCCGGAGGGAGGGAATTCAAGCTGCCCAAACCCCTTTGAATAGATCCCTGCACTAATTCCCAATCTGGGGGTGGGCCAATACAAAAAAATTGCCTTCTCTCGATTGAAACCTTTTTTGATGTTAATATTTTTCATTTACTGGACCGCAATGTAGGGATTTAGTTCAAGGGATCYATTCTATAATTTCATGTTCTGAATGATATTTTGTTAGCTTATATACCTTATTGACTCTGCTGGGAGTTTACAGTTAGACAAGTCTACAAACTTCAAATCTTGAGCAAGGCTGAAAAACTAAGGTTTAACAGTACATCAATAAGCACATAACTTATCAGATTTTAAATAACTGTCTGAAAGCAGTTTAAATACCAACTACCACACTTTCTGTATCCAGCTGTTTGTTGTCTGTATGTTGTAAGTTGGGTGTCAGTGGGTTATTGGAGGATTTTCTACTGATCTTCGGAAGGGTGTCAGTGGGTTATTGGTAGGGTGTCAGTGGGTTGTTGGTAGGGTGTCAGTG